AGTTATATAATATATAAATCATATAATTATATATATTTAGTATTTCATTGCTCTCTTGCATTTTAAAGGTTCATAAACAACTTGCCGGATACTATCAACGTCACTATGGGTGACACTTCTTTTGGAATGCTGGCATCTCTTTCTGCCAGTAATTACAGTCTCTTTCCAGGAGGAAGGTAAGTGTTTTCCTTTAACTAAATCTAACCACTTCAAGACACTCCTCTCCTTCAGAAAAGAACATAGAACTCCTTTTATTTTATATAATGCATTGAATTGTCTACACCTATGGTCCCAACTGTGCTTTTTCTTTTTCAGAAAAGATAAGATTGTGGTTGTGAGAAATTCAATGCCTTGTTCAGTTACTTCTAAAGCATTTGGGTTTGGCAGTGCCTATACAATTGTAATTAATGAGGTGAGTTGCCAGTGCTGTTGGATGGATAAAGCAATCGCTTTTCATGTCAGTATTTTCTTTAAAGAAACCCACTTGTACAATTACCCTCCTGCCCTTCATTATACATATGATAGAATTATGTTAGACAGTACATAAACCCATTGTTAGCTATAAAAATAATGTTGGCTATGACAATGATGTAATGCAAGGATTTGTGTTAATCACTATTGTCCTTAATCTTTAGCCCTGTTAGACACTAAGGATTTGCATGAAGCCTTCTGTAAAATTACTACTTTATAACTAGTATGCAGTGCTTCATATGCAATGTTTCTTACTTACTCATAACTTTGTGTATATATGATTATAGAGGGGGTATATAGAACTCTTTAAAGTGCCTTTAGTGTACAGACTCTTTATCACTGTTCCTAATGTGCTATTTTAATTTTCAGTGTTCTATAGACACTCTTGATGTAACATACTCTGAAGATATCTCACCCAACACAGTCCATATGGCTTGGCAGATCCCTCAGTATTTTATCCTTACGTGTGCAGAAGTAGTCTTCTCTGTCACTGGGCTTGAGTTTTCATACTCGCAGGTAGGTTTTGTTCTTCAGAGCTCTCATTTGTGTTAAGTATCCTGGTACAAATTAAGATCTGTGATTTACTGGTTTTTAAGTGGTGGTTCTGTGTTGCTGCTTTGCTTGAACAATGTCCTTCAGAGCTCCCTAGTAGTATAGGCTGGTACTAGCTGGCCTTGTTTCACTAGCATTCAGTGTTTTCCATGAAGCTGTGATTAATTATATCACTTGAAGACTTGACCACCAGTCCTCAAATCTCCTTGCACGTGGCTTTCCTTTGAAAATAAGTGCAACTATACTGCTGCTGTGCAGCCAAACTGGAGAGCCCTCAACTGTAAAATCGGCATGTACTGATGGCTTCTCTCCACAACAACTTCCTCCATACAGTCTTCAGCAGCAGTTTAATTATACCCCTCAATTCCATTTGTCTTCCAACTCCAGTCTGTAGTATTAGCCATGTGTATTTTTTCCCTTAATTCTGAACCTGTAAACTGCAGTGCTGGGAATGTTGTAAGATGTAGTTTGCTAGACTGAGATGTTCTTTCTTATTTTAGTTGCACATGGTACACATTGAGTTGGATGTAAAATGTGCCTGTTAATTACTCTGTGTAGGAAGTAAAAGGTGTTAGTCAGTACTAGTGATCTCTTGCTCCTCAAAGCCTTCCCCAGGCCTGCACAGTTCTCCACTGATTTTCAATTAAAAAAAGGCAAACCACAGCAAAACAAAAACACCACCAAAACCAAGAAATCCCTCTCCTCACAAAGAACCAGTGTTTCTTACATTATAAAGACTGCAGTAAACATCAAAAAATAAGTGATAGCAGTGTTTGGCTAAAACCCAAGTGCCTTTACTTCTATAGGCCCCATCTAATATGAAGGCAGTGCTGCAAGCAGGGTGGCTGTTGACTGTGGCTGTCGGTAACATAATTGTCCTTATCGTGGCTGGAGCATCCAAACTCAGTGAGCAGGTAAGCACACAAGCGATCGGCGTGCTTTTATATTACACTATAAAACCCATTCTGATACAGGGTGGGTCGTGGCTGATAATCCTCAACCACCACTATTGAACATCAGCTTTATGGTGGTTTTGCATTTATAATGGGAATGTCGGAGGTCAGCAATATCTACAAGAGTGTATCGGTCAGTTGTAGAACTAGTGCTTGACTGACTCCCATTAACAAAAGTCATGGGGTTAGGAATCTTTATAAGCTATCTGCATTAAAAGTAGTGTTGAGGGCTGTGACAACAGAGTGGTAACTTGTCTTCTGAAGCCACCTCTAAAGTTTCTGTTGGTCTTTTTCCCCAGTGTGTGTACATGTACATGCACAAATGAAACTTAAAACAACTCTAACAAATACTATCTCAACAAAGGTTTCTACCTCTTTTCAGCTGTTCTCTGCCATTTGGAACTCTTGGTCTGTCAGGCTGCTTTTCTTGCAAGCAGCAATTTCTAGCACCTCTACAATAAATTGCTTCTCATTATGTGGAAAGGCTGTGAATCATAGAATGGTTTGAGTTGGAAGGGACCTTTAAAAATCATCTAGTTCCACCCCCGCTGCCATGGGCAGGGACACCTTCCACTAGACCAGGTTGCTCAAAGCCTCATCCAGCCTGGCCTTGAACGCTTCCAGGGATGGGGCATCCACAGCTTCTCTGGGCAACCTGTTCCAGTGCGTCACCACCCTCTCCGGGAAGAACTTCTTCCTGATATCCAATCTAAACCTCCCCACTTTCGGTTTAAACCCATTACCCCTTGTCCTGTCACTACAGGCCCCTCCCAGCTTCCTTGTAGGCCCAATGTGTGCAATGAAATTCTAGAGTGATGGTAGGTTTTAATCCCAAAATTCTGTTCACTGCTAATGAACCTTGACCTGCACACTTCAGTTTTTCCATGTCCCTACTTCTGCCTCCTTTTTAGTTTCAAACATCACTCCCTGGGTCACGAAGTCTGTGGTTCTCCTGGTGAAGAACACTTTGACAACACTTTCCCAGACCACTTGTGGAAATCCCTAATGAACCAAAAGGGATAACTGAGAGAAGGGAGAGCTTGTCTTTGAAAGAGGTCTGGCAGTCCTGGTTTCAGCCCAATTAACCAGAAAGAACATGAAACAGCTGTTGAGGCTTTTCAAGTGGAGGTGGTACTTTTGAAACCAATGCTCCTAGTTTAGCTCTCTGCCCAGATCTATGGTTAGTAGGAACTTTACTGCTGACCTAAGTGTAAGCAGGATAACTGCCAGCCTCATCTAAAATGAGATTGCCTGACCAACAGGAGGGAACTAAGTTGCCTTTTCAGGCTTTTGGTCTATTCCCATGCTTCCAGGAAAAGGCGATTGTGGATCTCTCCAGCATTCACAGAACTTGTCTATCCTCAATGAAGAGAAACCATAGAAGGTCTCAATTTTGAGTTGCTTTAATATGTATTTTACACATGCAATTCTTCAAGTCACATAGTACTTGTTATACGTGCTCAGTTTCACATTCTTAACTTTGTTCCTTGCAAACAGTGAAGTGGTGTAATTCTTTTGAGGAGCAAATATTGATTTATATTTTTTTTGTCTTTTTACAGTGGGCAGAATATGTGCTGTTTGCTGCCTTGCTTTTGGCAGTCTGCATCGTTTTTGCTATCATGGCTTGTTTTTATACCTATGTTGATCCAAATGAGGTTGAAGCCCAACTTGAAGAGGAAGAAAAGAAAGAAGGCAAAAATTATATATGCATCTTTGGAAAGCAAGCTGACTCTCAGATGTAAAAGGTGTATTCAAAGAGTGCTTGTAAATTATGGCATCCCATTAACTATCCCTGCAGTAAGAGGAATCAGGATATCAGTAACACCTCTGGATAGCATGTCTAATGAGAGAGCTTAAGAAAAACTCTTAACTTAAAATGCAGACTTTCTTGGGAAGCAAGAGGAAAAGATTATTTTCTCATGTACTGAACACTGTATCCTGAAGCTCCAGCAGAATTTGCACTCTTTAATGTACCTCAAGCTTAAATACTATAGCATTAAAACATTGAAATTGCACTCAGCACTATTAGACCCTGTGAAAAGATGTATTTTTATACTGCATTTCAATTTTATATCATGAAAGAAACAAATATTACCAAGAAATAGTAATTAAAGCCAAGCTGTCTGCATGACCCCTCTAGCCTCACTGTTACTTGAAAGCAGCAGGTTACATGTGCCTTATTCTTTTGTACTTCCTTATGGATAGTGGGAGCAAAGAGTTGGCTTTGTCCAGATTAAAATGCTGCCTGTGCTCCACCTGGCAGTAACACGGACATGCACTGTAAAATAATGCTTCATGTGCCTGTTAATTTACCCATTTAAATCCTGTTATATTTTTAATTATGTTTATTAGTGAGGTGTACACTCAGGTAAACAGACAATGGCAAATGATATTTGTAATAAGCAACAGCAATAAAACATTTGTTGTAACAAAATAATGGAAGTGATGCAAGAGAGTGACTTCAGTTGCATGTTAATGAAAGTTGATACTATCTCTGCTGCTTCACGTGTATTCCACCACTTGGAAGTAATGAACCAGTGTCAGTCTTCTCTGTCTTAATATACCTGTTACACCCATCACATCTGTAGTAGGGAAGACTGAATTTTGCTGCTTAACAGCATTCTGTAGTCCTGTGCACCATATTACGGTAGTGCCAGTGGTCTGTGGATTGTTTTGGGAATGCCTGTATTTAGATCTGTATCCTCCACTTTTTCCAGGGGCTGGCTTGGACTTGCTGGCCCCTCTGGTAGCCTCGTCAGACTTATAGCTGCTTTGATACCTGGCTTCCAATACTCTTATCCCAGCTTGTATGTGCAAGTGATATCATATAGACATATGTATTCAGTCACCGGTCGTGTTGCTGGCACTGCAGATACATGGGGCCCTGTGCCCCCTCGTTCTCACTTCAGTTGTTGACACTTAGACCTCTGTGGACACGTGCACAGAGCATAGAGTCCCACACCCAGGAAAGCAGTTAGAAATTGAGTTTGATAAGGTAAGTCTACGGTGCTCTTCCTCTGCCTCACAGTTTGTGTTGTACCCCATAACTAGGAACCCTTGTTTATCTCTAAAGGCATCCAGGGAGAGCATTTCCCATGGATTCAAGATGCTGGGTGTCCCCCTCCAGCCCATGGGGCTGAGGGTTTCCTGGGACAGCCCTAGGAGAAGCTGGTTTCCTGTCATCCTCTGAGGGGACTTTGCATCAGCTGTACTTCATGGAATAGAGTCATATAATCTTTTAGGTTGGAAAAGACCTTTAAGAACACCAAGTCAAACCATTAATGTAACACTGCTAATACAATGTCCTTCAACATCCAGGCAGTTTTTTACCCAGCAAAGAGCGTGCCTGTCCAAGCTACAAGCAGCCAGTTTCTCCAGGAGAACACTGGGAAACTGCATCAATGGCTTTACTAAAGTTTAGGTAGACAACATCCACAGCCTTGCCCTCATTCACTAAGTAGGATACCTTGTCCTAGAAGGAGACCAGGTTTGTCAAGCAGGACCTGCCTTTCATAAACCTATGCTGACTGGGCCTGGTTGTCCTGCACGTGCTGTGTGACAGCACTCCATATGATCTGCTCCATAACCTTACCCGGCTTGTGGTAGACTAGACAGCCTTTCCTTTGCTATGCAAGTTAAGCAAAATTAAATTCTTTCTTAACTATACCCCTACAAGATGGCATCTTATGTCCACACCAGGTGAAATTTATACTTAGCACTTTAACATTTCTTTCCAAGATTTGACATAAAACTAAGTCAGGGAACCTTGATGAGACCTGGGCAGCTCTTGTCAGCATTGCCGTGCCTGTGTCTAGAACTTATGTGCCGGGAATTGGTCTTTGGACTGGAATAAAATTTTTTTTTCAGTTGCTTAGTTATGAGAATTAAAGAGGTAAGGTTAACTTCTAAATATGACAGTGTTTAGTTTTAGATGCTGCTGTCTAGACTACTAGACTGCTGACAGGGTCTTTTGCACATCTTTTTCTGTTACAGAGAATATATCCTGAAATCAATCGAATTAACAGTTGATCATTCTAAATAAAGTTCTTATTTAAAACAAACAAACACAAATATTTAAAGAAATGCAAGAGTGGTGAATTATGAAAGCCTGTCCTAGCAATCAAATCTGCACTCCTGTCTGCCCAGGTAGATACAGGAATGTGTATGTCTGTATGATTACTAATGTTATAAATACACTATACAGCTTCCATGTTTTTTCCTAGTGCTCATTAGCTCAACCTAATGAGACTTGGCCAGGGCACTTAAAACTGTTCAAAGTCAGGTTCTGTGAACTATATAAATCTACTCCCTGCCACTTGCTGTTCTTGAAAATGGGCCTACAAGCAGCACAATCCTTTCAAAGACTTCCCTATAGGTTTAGGCAAACATCTATACAAAGTTGTTGGGTATTTTAATTGATGGGATTAAATTCCTGGAAGCAATTGCAAGCCACCTATACATACTTTTACTCTACAAATTACTTTTACCTTTTTCACAATATCACTGACCATCTTGCAGAGATTAGAATATTGATAATAAAATAACTGGATTATGCCTTGGAGAGTGAAGAAATATAAAAATATCAAAGGGGAAGTAGCAACTCCTGAAATCATCCTACTCCACCAGGAGGTGGTTTAGGACAACCAAGGATGCCCCATTTCCAGCCTAATTCAATCACTGCTGTTCCCCCTAAGGACACCACTGCAGGACAGGGTTTTGTGGAGTTTAGCACAGTAAAAAGGTAAATTGATAGCCTGCAATTCAATGGGCTCTCCATTATTGCTGTTAGATTTTTATCAGCCAGCTATGCTCATTCCTAATCGGAGTAAAATCTCTGCCTAAATACCTAATGCCCACAGGTGGATAACAAGTCACAGTCTGTGTTCCAGGGAGTTTAACAGGGAGAGGCAGGAGAGGAAGATAAGCAAAACAAGACCTGTGTTTTTTAGGAAGTAGCTGTGTGCTTACCTGAATCGGTCCAAACCACAAGTACGTTTTAAGAGGACATGTGAAGGTCATTGGCCAGCCGCTGCTGGCACACACCCCGTCACTAAGAAGCTTTCAGCTGCATCCTGGTGCGATGCCCCTATGGGAGGGTGAAGGGGGGCAGTCAGGGAAAAAATGGGCAGGGTGTGGGAATCAGCTTGTCATCTTCTAGGCTGGGCTATGTGATTCATAAGTGTAGAGAGCTCAGTGAAGAGCTGGGAGAAGGTGTCTTGCAGCTGGGCCTGAGTGATCTTAGACAAAAGGTGGGGCGTAGGCAATGGACCCTCCTGGGTGAAGCCCGTGCTGCAGCAGGCGCAGTTCTTCCCCGTGTAGCCTTCATAACCGCTTTTTTGGGTAGCAGCTGGGCAGGACTTAGCCAAGCCACTTGTGCTTTTGTAAAGGGTCATTTTAAATGAGAGGCAGAGCCCAAAGCCTTTTGGCAATGGGACAGCTAATAGAAACTGCATGTTGTTATTTCCTTCATATTGACATACCAAACATTGATATGATGATTTTAAGCAGTGTTACAACTGTCACTGACTGCATCCTAAAAGAATCCTAATTATTGCAGAAGCTGATCAGATAGGCTTGCCTTTTCCAGCAGATGTACTGGAAAGAAAAAGCTGTCCTTCCCTGCAATGCCAAAACAGCAGTAAGACCTTCTAAAACACTCACAAGGAGACTATCTGCAGTGAAAGTGGCTCTGTCTTGGTGACATTGTTGCTGTATTTTGAAATAAAAATCGAATTTGTGGAAGCTGCAAAGCTAAATAAAAAAATTAATAAAAATGATGCAAGAGCTAGGCATGAAATGGAGCAAGGCACTTTAACAGCACTTCTTCTCTAGCTGCTGTTGCAAGCCCTCCTTTGACCTGCTCCTGCTGTTCGTGGTGAATAAAACGCTTGTGAGATTAAGATGAAATCTCAGCTGTTTGCTTATGTGAAATTGTGTTTGTCCTCCTCCTGTGAGATTCAGCTGATTGCAGTGTATGTCCCTGTCAGAGATTCTTTCCACCACAGCCCATAAAGGGCTTTTTTATTCCAAACTGAACATCCTTTACAGCTGGGAAAAATACTTTCTTCAAACCTGGAATCACAATAAATAAATAAATATAGAGATAGATAGATAAATTAATAAATCCATCAGTGCTCCTGGAGCCATGCCATGCTTCCTTGGTAGTAAAAATTGGAAATGGCTTCTACTTAGATGAGAGTCCTATTTCCTAAAGGTCTTATCTTACAGAAAATGTTTCAGGTAAAGGTTAATTCAGTTGGTGCAGCTCCTTCAGGCTGGTACTTTACTTCAACAGAGTGCCTGAGATCGGTTCTGTAACCACCTAACCAAATTAATGATATTGAATGCATTTTTACCGAAACCTGATCCCAAACATGGGAGGTTGGGAGGGGATGACACTGCTGCATGCATTTACTAAAATTAGTGCCATGGATGTCCCATGCTGGCAAGACCTAAGTAAGTGCTGAACCTGGGGGGAGGGCATGGGAATGGTGGAACTGCACTTAAGAAACAGCATGGACGTGACTGGTGGGGAGAGAGGGCCTCCGGCTCCTCTACATTTGCACCCTGGACCCTTGCTGCTCCCCA